AATATTATTTTGTGTAGAAGTGCATGATCTGTGTCGGGAATGTGCAACTTTAAGGGTTGATAATTGTTTTACCACGTCATTTAAAAATAAACTGCGAGGTTGACTAGATAATCGGAAAGTAGAAGTAAAATTATAGAAAATGAATAAATGTATGAATTATGGGATACGACAGAATGAATGTATGTAAAAAAATGCAAACAGAAGACGTGAAAGAGGAAATAAATAGAACGAAGAACAGTAGAAGAAACAAAATGGGAGACAAATGGTGATTACTTTGGGGACGCAATTACGGAGAAAAGAGTCCATCGGATTAGATAGTTACTCCAGTGAACACTAACTGTTCATGATAACTAGGGTCTAGTTGTTCAGGCTTTCCTTGTATCAAGTGACTGACAAAGCTCTAGTACCGCATGCTATTCAGGAGGAAGTGCCATAAGGAACACACAGCAACACTTTTGTCACTGAAGGTATTTGGCCCAAGCCTAAATGTGCGGTCATCATGTTGCTGGCTTTTCTATTCTGTTTTTATTCTTTTATTTTGTTATAACTTGATTTCACACCGCATTTTGATACGGCTATGGAATTTTCAGCTTGTGATATCGGTAGCCTAGATTTAGCAGGCCAACCATTAATATCAGGTGTGCGTTGGCCAAAGATCTACTCCCGGACCATGTGCATGGTCGACGAGCGTCCTAACCTCTATGTCTCCAACAGAAATCAATGTACCATGTAAGTTGTGAGGGACTATGTTCTTGTATATTCAAACAAAACTTCTAGGCAGCCAGATGTGAGGCTATGAGAGCATAAGCAGTACCTGAAAGCAGTATCTAGGACTTTTGCAGATTTGAGGAAGCTAGAAGGAAAATCAGTCATCGCACTGCCGTCATTAAAAACTGGACACAAGGTTGACTTTAACGGAGCCGAGGATCTACAGAAAGATTTCGGTTCATGTGAAGGAAGAACGACTGCAGAGGCCCTACATAAATGGGTTCACCCCGAAAATTTGCATAGCAAGTCCTGATTTAGTGATGAAATGGATATGCGTCGCTGGTTTTCATTTTCCACCTATTACACATGTGTATCTTTTGGAAATGATAATAGATGATTTACAATTGTTCTGCTATGTATACACATTGTTGCGTATTGCATACATATATTTTTCTAATTCGGATATCCATGGCCGTTACCTTTGTTTGTCCATGGTAATTAAAATCTGCTGTAAAAGTACAAACCACTTATAGTGTGCAACGAAGTAGTGTAATAATAGGTCTGTGTCCTAATTTCGGTCAAAGTTCAAGCAGTTCTCTGATTTTGTTTTCGATGTCTGTTCATGACTCACGTGACTAGATGAGGATTTTAAAGAGGTTACCTTTCATCACTCTACATAAAAACAAAATCCGACCCTTTCACTGAGCCACTGAATCCGCAGCATTTTTAGCCCTGACATTGTGAAGGGTGAGGTGAACACTTGAAAGAATCCTCCGTGCAGGTACCTACCCAAAAATTTTCATCACCGAACCCATGAGTCCTAAACCACTGCAGCTGCCCTCAGTTTCTGCTATTAAATGACTTCTCTACTTGAATCTACTGTTGAATGGCGACTCATCAGTAGAAATACTAAGAAATCGCCTGTCCCTCCCATTGTAGAGAACCTTCGTGGCTGAACTTCGATTAACTTTCTCTACGAAAGCAATGAATCGCATGAACGTTACGGATAAGCTACCACCGTTGGCCTCACCAATGTGTACCTATCAGTTCATCTGCTCGTGTGGGGTTAGGTATGTTGGCTGCACCCAGAGTTTGTTATCCAAACGTATCATCGAATACTTATCCCCATGGATTTATAAAGGAGAAAACAGATGCCCTGGGCCGCAACTCTATCCTGGAACACTTGATCTAATCTGAACACTAGGCTTACCCACAAAGGAATTTCAAAGTTATCTGCAGAATACGTGCGAATCTTCAAACAGCAGGAGCAATAACAACTCACATGTTAAATCCAAAACTCTGTTCAATCATTAAATCTATAATGGACCTGATCCATCTTAACACTGGATGTGCAATATCTGTTTTTGTTTCTTAATTGTATTATTTTTTTCCTTACCCCCTAATAAGTTTCTACCCCTCACTATCACTGCAAGTCAGTTTAAGGAGATATCCGAGAGACGCTTAGTGGATGGGGCTTGGTTGTATAGCGGTGTCTATGCTAAGTAGAATCACGAGAAAAACATGTCAGTATAAATGCTAACTTGTTGATGCTGAAGAAAAAGTGAATTCTTCCAGCGGAGGAAATGCCAAGGCTAATCTCGAAGAATAATCAGCTGTGATTTCTTTTAGCTGCCAGAGGGATAAAGTAGCTTGGCAGGATATTGAAGACTGCGAAATTTTGGTAACTTTCTGAAGTTTTTTAGTTGGTGACTGATGGTGTTAACATGGCCATAATGGTTTTTGTCTTTTTGCACAACGTGCAGAGTTCTTTAAGAGAAATGCTCACACATATTTGGAGATCAAAACTTGTAAATCAGTTTACTTCTCACTGATTATCTAATAAATTTGGCTCAACGAAGTACAGCTCACGTAACGTCATATGAGTGATAACGCAAATATCGGGGCTCTTCGCATACTGCATTCCCTTTGAAGTTAGCCTGGACGTTCAGTTGAGTTCGTATTTCAGGTATTCTACCCACCATATGCTAATCCTCATGTGGAGTAGTGTCTACAGTCGGCTAGCTCATCCTTCAAGGAACAGGCAGAAGACTCGGAAGGAGCACAAAGGACAGGGATTAATCACATCAGTGGTATCCCGTATCTCCTTTAAAAGAAGAGGCTGGAATACCTAGACCTCCCCCAGTCACATCTCAAGGGAGGAGGAGAGGGCCAATATTTGCTCGAAGAATATTAAGTGAAAGTTAGCTAGTTAGTTAGTTGTCCATTTCTACCAGTCACGAACTAAATCAACGACCATACTCTCGATCCAGGTCTTACCCTAATGGCTATTCGGTGTATTCATTGAAGTTTTACAGGAAGTCAAACATGAGTGCGAATAGTTCAGTAGTAACGTCCCCGACTAATATGCTGAGTGTGGCTGGTTCAAATCCATGTATGCCCATCGGTCTCTTCGAAGATGCAGAAACGTCTCGTTGACAAGTGCGACTGGGCACGACACCCAGATCCTCCTGCCACTAGCCTCCAGCCACTCAATATCCAAGCTGAAGTATTTTTCCAATGATTCGCAGGCTTACAACAATTTTGGAGTGGTGAGAACTATTTCGCATTAATATTCTTTTGATTTTTCATCTGGTAGAACTTATTTAACAACTAAGAAGATGAAAATGATTAGACAGGGCCATAATCTAATGACATCAGAATGTTCCACAGTATAGAACTGCTTACAACAGTAACCTGAACAGTTAGTCACTATGGCTAATTAAATACGTAACCGAAAGTAATCCTTGAGGCTATAAATAGGTCCTGGAAAAGTTGTGTTTTGTAAATTCATACTGCAATTCCATTAAGCAGCCGGAATATAACACTCGAAACCACCATATTTCTTGATAAACTCATATATATATGCACACCTTTGGCATGGAGAAAATTTCACTCCCCCTGAGATTAAGCCCTTAATGATTGCTGGCTTACCAGAATGCTGAATTTTTCTTTTGAATGCCTTTTGCTTTACAGTCGAGACACTTGAGTCTGATTACCCCTCAGGATGGGCGTGTGCATGTTAAATCTCATCCAAGAGTCATATTTGTTTGAGCTAAACGACGTGGACTAACTAATTACGAAATGGTATCGATTACAGTGCCTTTTCAGGCCTAGGTGCACTGTGGAGCCACTTTGTTCCAGTTTGGCATTCTGGCAGCATACAACTATGTCCTGGACGCAAACAACCTTTAGACTATTAGTCGGGCCTACTTGTCATTCAGCCGTCGGAACAGAATCCAACGGTAGGCCCTTGAACTCTTACTTCCACTAATTCCAGTACAGAGCACAGTTGGCACTACTGGCTTATGTGTTCGCATACACAAATACATGTTATTTGATGTAAAACCCGTGTAATACTTTGATTAGGAGTAGGGCATATTTTTGAACTTGTCGGTAGTTACAGCCTTTGGTTCAAGGTTTTACGGATAACATAATTTCCCATCTTCTAACCATGTCAGTAGCTCCTCAACTGTACGGTAATTCGATGTACAACACAGAAAGCTGTGGGCTGTGGACCAAAGTTCGTCCCAAATTGTCAGCTGCCTGAAATTTTTTCACTCGCGTTTTAGGTTTGTGTGATTGTGTTTAGAGCTTGACATGTATCATCTTCACGCCCGTAACACATATCTCCTCGGGTTTGAAACTATAGACCAAATTTTCGAAGATTACACCAACTGCTTGTGATCCTAATGCACTCTCCATGACAAAGCCGTCTTCTTTACAAAAGTGCTCATCCTTTAAAATGAAATGAACGCCGTCTGTACTGAAATAAGAGTTCTAAGTATGGAGGAATGGTTAATGAAAGACCAGTAGGGCATATGTACACACAAATCATGTAATTAATGTTGATCATTAGTACATCGAAAAATAAACAAAAACGAAGAAATTTTTTTGTTTTATAACCTTATGAACATGACGCCACTACAGTTTGTAAAGTGATTTTTACATATCTGGATGGTCACTGCAGCCGATTGTATGATAGGAATCTATCAGAGCTCTGGGACTGTTCGCAAAAATCCTGAGGGAAGCCCCAAGAAATCAAATGGTCTATATAAGCTTGCTACAATAGATATTTGTCAATGAACATATATATGCTGGATGATTATCGTTTTAAACTCATAATACTTTGGCAGAATCTTAAAATGCCAAAAAACGAGCAACATGGGGAGGCGAAAATTTCACTGGAAATTTCATTTTTAAATTCAGTTTATCTTTTTTGTTATATTGTGTCAGTTTGTGTAAAATTTGTAACCGCGTCTATTTGACTGCGAGTCTTTGGATATGTGTTTTCGATGAGTAATCTAGACGCTAGTCGAATTCTCGAATCAGCTCTTAAGGATGTGGATGCTATTCTAAAAGGTAGAAAATTCATTGAAAATATTACTACTTTGGTATTAGTGAATGAAATCAACTCAACAGAGGCTAATATTACCGAAAATAATCATTTCGACAACCACCACCTGCCAGAAGTTCCACATCTGGATGTTACAGACTTAAATACGGATAGTGCTGCATATGAGCATGTAGGAAATTTAGATGAGGATTACCTTTACAAAACTGGAAAGGAGTTTTCAGTTCTTATTGACAGACTGCAAAACTGTATTGACAAACTGAATCATACAGGACCTGCAACTGCTAGTCATGTGACAGGATATGGAAATACGGATTATGGAATTACTCGAGATCATAGAATTCGACTAGTTCGTGTAAGTATTTTACTGTTTTCATAAAAGTATTTTAATACATCTGTTCTGTTTGTTGACATTAAATGCGACTCACTATAAGGAAAAAGAAATGTGTGTTTGCAGTCACTTTTACTGAAAGTTTTCTTCATAGATGTATTTTCAGCTTTTTATGAATGTTTCAGGGTTATTTCACTTGTGAAGATTTCACCAGGTGATATTTTATTCCGTAATAATTTTGTTCATTTCTCCTTTCTCTGTGGCTATCAGATATGCAAGTATGTACAAGTAATCTAGGATTTGTTGGGTTACTCTGAAGATTTATGGAATGGGTATTCAATCCAGGTATTTTTAATGCCTTAGGGGATATAATGAGAATATTTCTAGATAGCTTATAACACATTTTCTGTAATTAAGGAGTGGTGTTTACTCAGGACTGGACAGCTCTTCAGCGGACAAGAAGTGTAGTACTTTGATCTTCAAACCTTTTCATTATAGCTTAATAAAATCAGTTTTTCTGGCATTTTCACTCTTATATATATGCAATATCATGCCATATAGTTTCTTCGAATTACTGAATACCTTTAAGCTGAAAGATAGTGGAACAATGAGCAGCGCGTCTAAGAGTATTTTCAAGTCTTGTGTGTGCCTAAATGGTCTTATTCGATCCTTCTAGACTACCTAATAACTGAATCGATAGTTGATTAACCGTCAGTAAACCATTGTTTGGTGAAAACCCTAATTTTAATCTGTTGTACCTTAAAGTACTAAGATTTTGCCTTCCTTATCACTTGATATTCGCCAACTTGCATGATCTTAGGCTAAAGCATTATATTTGGTATGTGTAGTGCACAGTAGTTTGCTTTTCTCTACTTCACGGCTATGAAACATAACAACAGAAGGTAAATCACGCGATGATTGGAGGCTTTCAACTATATAGCTTTGTTCTGTCAACCACATATGATGAAGTCATAACTTAATTAGTAACAGTATTGGAGGTAATGCATTAAGTTTGATGGAAAAATCAATCGTGTTCTGAAGCTCCATCGGTAGAGGTAGATAGACCATCGGTTGCACACTTTTAGCCGATACATTCCTTGAAGATGACTATTAACTGAATTGTCAACATAAATTTAATCGATAACTCTGCATAAAATGGGTGTTTATGCATATTAAGAATATAGGTCACATAATGTCTCACTTTATTCTTTAGAGTAAATAATAAAATAAAGTAAAAATAATAAAAAAAGTGAATGTCAGTAGTCTTAAAACTTAATCTATGCATTGTAATAAGGGTCCAAAAATTTATAATTTATCTCCAAAGCAAATCATAAACAGTATAAGGAAAAAGTGGCACAGAATAAACACTAAATCCAAACTTCATAGACAACATCTCCTCTGGACTTCTGTGTCTGCACTTAGAGTGTAGCATATCAGCTTTCCTTAATGACAAAGTTGATTATCAATTTACGTTAAAGAATGGTATCTTGTTCTTTCCATTTTTGTTAAAATGATATGATCTGCTCACTGTTACAGTAGACTTGTAGATGATAATTTCTCAAAAGGTTTTTACTGAATAACAGGTACATTATCGAAAGGGGTAGGATCTTGATAATATCCTCTGGGAGTTATTGCATGTCACCACTGCAAATGCTCAACATGGTTATATCCAATCAACTGTACAGACCAGCTGCTATACAAGTCACCTCTTAAGAGATGCTTAGTCTACTAAACAATTAGTCATACTTTTTTCCTACTTATAACATGATAACTGACAAGAAACTTTAAGTGAATGCTTTCGGCACTGTTGTCCAATAACTGTAAAGGGAGTATTTATATCACAAAACTAGGTGTATCATTTTAATTCAAATTTCTGCTCACCGAAGGCTTGAAGCCTGTGTTGATCCTTTTCGGGTAAAGTTCTCTGCTTGTTCAAGCCCATCTCGGTCGGTCGGTCAGTTTTCGACATAGAACTTTGCACATATGTGTGGCAGTTCAAGTCGCCACACTCCATGTAGTACACAAAGCAAGAGAACAAAGTGGGAGAAATGCATAATAGAGACAGTAAACAGAGGTGTGAGACAAAGGAATAGTAAAAACGAAGAACACAACAGTTTCACTGGAAATCATAAGTCACAAGGAGTGGATGCATCTGCGCCACTGAGAACGATTTTGAGCCATGTCACCAATTGTTTCCAGGCATTGGTTTTTACCGTCCGGAGGACCCAAACCAGGACGTCTACACCTTCCTACGTGGCTTAGACTAACTGTTGTGGATTTCATTGACTGGTGCCATGTTTTCGTTTGACCGCCGCTAGCTCTTTTCCAGTCTAGCCCCATATAAGCTAACATTGCCTGTCGAGGAAGGCGATGACTAGGCATACGTAGCACATGTCCTAACCATCTCAGTCGATGTAATTTCACAGTCTCGTTGACTGATTTCCCTGCCTTACCTAGCACTCGACGCCTAACCTCAATATTGCTCACCTTATTATACCACTTCGCACGGGAGATAGAACGCAGACACCTATGATCGAAGACAGTTAATCTTTTCATGTCTTCTGCCCATCTTGAATGAGTCAGTTGACGGCGCTGACACCTACTCTTCTCGGAGTCAGTTCCAGAATTTGATGACTAGGTGTGAGGACCAGCACCCTACAGTAATACAGTTTCGCTGCTGTTATGTCTTCTGAGGTGCTTCGACCTGGTGGGAAGGGAAAGACAGTATAGGTCAGGTCCGTAGTCATTATTTAAAATTTTAAACATTGAGAATAAATCTCCTCTCTGCCTACAGTATGACAAGGAGAAGAGATTTAAACTATGTAGTGTTTCCTCCTATGATAAATTAGTCTGCCGAAAATCATATGTGTTGCCTTCCTTTGAACCATTTCTAGAATATGTGAGTCCTCATTAAGACAAGGACTGGCTTCCTGGATACAGCTTTTCAGACTTGACTTCACCCGAGATGTAAATATGGAGGTGGACATATCTGTGGTGATTCTAGTAAAGACTGCGTAAATTGCCCAGCGAAGATTTGAAACTATGCGCAGCCACCTCGCGACAATGTGCTGCAGTTTTTAAATCGTGACTAACTATGACACCTTAATCCAAATGAGTCTGAACTGATGGGAGTTTTATTCCTTGTAGTTCGTAGGAACTGATGATTACGTGTTCGGTGCGCATGGTTGCGTATTTCACTACGTTGATCTGGAGCATGGTAATGTCATACAGGATATCCCGCTCCACACAATTAAACACTGTACACATAAAATGAACCTGACTCATCTACGGTTGCAAACCTTTGATGGGATTATGCAATGGGAAGTGTACTTCAGCTTTATTTAATGAAGCAGTGTGATTTAGATGCATTTTGTGCTGTAAATTACGTTACTCAAATGTACAATCTGATATATGAAAAGTAAGGCCTAAACTTAGAACTTATTGACTGAAAAATATATACATAAGTCAATTAACGGACTCACTGGCTGACTGGTTTCAACATAGAAATTTGCGCCGATGTGTAGCAGCTCGAGTTGCCACATTCCATCCATATAGCACACAAAGCGAGAGAAGAAAGTATAAGGAAATACAAAATAAAGACAGTAAACAGAGAAATGAGGCAAAATTTTTTATTCCTTCACGTTCCCAGTGGAACATAGGGCTTCTACCTAGAGGCTTGCAGTTTAGGTAGCAGTGGTGCTTATTTTTACGGGACGGGGTTGCTACCCTCATACCTGACCTTTCCTGTCTACTAGTCTTATTACTGGCTTAGCGAGGTAAAGGAGTGCGTTAGTCGGGGATTGAACTCCGGACCTCATGTGTAGTTGGAGAGCATTGTACCTCTGTGCCACTGACTGCGAGGCAAAAGGAATAGTAATATTGAAGAACTATATAGTTTTATTGGGTATTATAAGTCATAAGGAGTGGATGCATCTGCACCGGCCATCATCCAGAACGATTTTGAGCCATATCACCAATTTTCTCCAGCCTTCATTGGTTTTTACCGTCCCCATAACCCCAACAAGCCAACAAGTCTACATCTTCCTACGTGGTTTAAACTAACTGTTGTAGATTTGATTGACTAATGAAGCCATGTTTTGGTTTGACCACCACTAGCTAACTTTTTTCCAACCTGATCCATCCTATGTCAGTGGCCCGTCTAGTAAGGCGATGGCTAGGTGTGCATGCGTAACACATGTCCTAACCATCTCCGTCGATGTCACTTCACAGCCTCGTTGATTGATTTCCCCTGATTACCTAGCACTCGATGCCCAATTTCAATATTGCTCACCCTGTTATACCACTTCACACGAGAGATAGGACGCGGGCACCTATGATCAAAAACAGCTAGCTGGACTTTTCATATCTTCTATTTTCAGTAGCCATGTTTCACTCACAGGCCTAATGGAGGACGGAGCGAACTGCTGAACTCATTCCACGTCCTTTGGTTGTCAGCCAGCTGGATGTCACGTCTAAAAAAGTTAGTCCCTTTTATAAATTTTGATAGCATTATTAGAAGACGGAGATTATCTGAAAAATGTGATGTATTTGCGCTATACATTTCGAACAATCTGATCCCTAAAACATTTACTTGTCAAGTCGATATACATAAAAAAGGTTAAATTAAACAAAGTGACAAAAAAAGAATTAAGAATAATTAACACAAACGTTTGGTAATCCAATGAAATAAAGATTACCAAGGTTGGTTAAGAGTAATAACAAACTGTTTTTGAATACACAAGGGGGGCTTAAGTTTATGAATGGCTATAGCCTCAGCGTATTTCAGTAAACGTCCTTGACCGTTTTTATAGATGACCTTAAAGGCTGAGTTAACATCAACCTTATGGTTCATCTAGATTAAATGTTTAGCTATAGACGAAGTTGGTAGTCTGACACCTGCATCTATTGGCTTGTCACAATTCATCTGTTTTTCTAACCACTTTGGGATATGCTCTCTCACCCTCACATGCAACGCGCGATTACTCCTCCCTATGTATGTATGTCCACACACACACGAAAATTGG